TTTGTGGATGGGGATGTATATTGATCACTTCCAATCTATTGGCCATCACTTTGTTTTCCATATCTGTTGACATAAGGAAGTTTTAATCTAGCCTACTTGTTTCTAGTCATAAAGTGGATGAAAAGCAGAGTGGAGGGTAAGTCCTGGTGCAACAATGATCAGGAGGAAAGGAACTAAATAACTTACTAAATAGATAGATCTCCCCCTGCCCTAGAGACTTTGCAAGTTGCAGCAAGCAATCAGTTAAGCCTTGCAGATTGAAGCAAGGTGGTGCTTTACTAACTAAGCTGCAGATTTGCACAGAACCTTTTCTTCTCGCTTGGAGTTGAGCCCATCAAAAAGGGAAATTTTGCACACCCTCCTCTCCTGGGTGGAGAAGACCCATGAAAATTGGAGACTCAGGGCCAGGCCCTGAGATTTAGCAACTTTATATCCAAGGCTTTGCAAGCTTATTCTCTCATGAACACTCTTCTATAGACTGGTCCTCTGAGATATCCATCCTTTGCAACCCTGTTTAATGAAATCTGTATGCAGCATATTATATTTTCTGTTTTTAGCCTCTTCCTCCTCCTGCTCCTCAGAATGTTCTAGCTGAATGGCATGTTGGGAAGAAAACTGTCGAACAAAGGCCTCTTTCGTTCTGTACTCGGCAGCAAAAATAGATTGCCAAGCTATTTTTAGTACAGAGAGAGTGCAGAGCTGTCCAAGTCCCTACTGCTAGCAATAAATACACCTCTTAGAGAGTCTGGGAAGTCTTGTAAACAATGATTTGCAATGAGGATGGCTCTGTTCTTTTATTGCTGGAGAGGTATCATTATCTATTCTCTAATTTCATAGTTGGTGTCTCATAACATCAAGGTGTTTAGAAAAGGCAGGCAGAACAATACATCATACACGCATACACTTTTAATCTCCTTGCCATTCTTCAGGCCTTGACTTCTGCTGAGCAAAGAGTTGTATAAATAGATTCTACTACATATGCTGCCAATACAGTTTCCAAAAACAGGACCTCAGTGTTATCTTGTAGACTGAATTTTGTTGTAAAAGACAGGGGTGGCTCAGAGGGGATGGACGAAATATTAGAAATGCAACAGGGCGATTTAGGAGAGCATTTGCTTTTTCTACCAAGCAGCAATTTTCAAGGGTAAAATAGCATCATTATGACCTGCTTTTGAAAATTTAGCTTGCTGTGGTCAGCACTTACTGTCAATTTGTGCAACTTCTGTGTGGTTACTTACTCAGAGGTGCTGCAGGCACTGAAATTGCTATAAAGATAAGGTTTAAAGGTAGTAATAAATTTTACCCTGTAGCTATCTGTGTTACATTTGGTTCTGCAACACCTCTCCTTATGCCTAAAGGAATTTGAGGAGCAAGTAGTGGAAATATTTCCAACAGAGTTTGCAAAAGTTCATTTTGGCTCCCAGAATTCCCCAGGCAATATGGCCACTGGTTGGGGAATTTTAGACCGAAACAGAGGGTTTCGGTGAACTGGTTTCCAGTTGTAATTTGAGCTTTTGCCATTGATTTAATTTGAATTGAACTGAATTCAGAGTTAGGAAAGTTAGTGGGCAAGACTGGTGGATGTCTTTGATGAGAGCCAGTGTGGTGTAGTGGTCTTAGTGTTGGATTATTACTCTGGAGACCTGGGTTTGAATCCTTGCTCAGCCATGGAAACCTACTGTATGACCTGCTCAGCTTTGGAAACCCAGTGTGTGACCTTGGGCATGTCACATCCTCTCAGCCTCAAAACAAGGCAAAGTCAACACACACACACCCCCTTGAACAAACGTTGCCAAGAAAATCCCATGATAGGTTCGCCTTAGGGGTGCCATAAGTTGGAAATGACTTGAAGGCACACGACAACAACAATGGTTTTAATGGCATACAGTTGCAGGCTGGTAGATTTTGAATGAACATTAGAAGGACCTTCTTGATCAGGGACCGGCAACCTACGCCCCCCGGGCCAGTTCTGGCCCAGGTCGCCGGACTTAGCGGCCCAGGCAGACCCCTGCCACCACCGCGTGCTGCTACTGTGGCACATTTTCCCCTCCATCTGGCCACGACATGCGCGGCGGAGGAGGCGGTGGCGGCGCGGGGGGGGGGTTGTGCCCCCCCTCGGCCCAGTGGAAAGAGGAACTTTGGGGGACCGGCCCAGAGCAAAAAAAGGTTGCCTACCCCTGTTCTTGATGGTAAGAACAGTTTGACAAGAAACCAATTGCCTAGAGAGGTGATGGGGTCTCTTTCTCTGGAGGCCTTCAAAAAGAGGCTGGACAGCTCCCTGCTAGGGATGCTCTAGCTGGAGTTCCTGAATTGAGCAAAGGGTTGGATTCAAGTACGCATAGGACCAACTGTATGATTCTATGCTTTTAGTTGGTCATTAGTGAGTTAAAAAATTTATTTCATTGCATTACATCAGAAAGGGAGACAATTGAGTACAGGTTGAGTCCCCCTTATCCAAAATGCTTGAAAACAGAGGTATTTTGGATTTGGGATTTTTCAGATTTCGGAATATTTTCATATACATAATGTGATATCTTGGAGATGGGGCCAAGTTCTAAACACAAAATTCATTTATGTGTCGTATACACCTTATACACCTAGCCTGAAGGTAATTTTATACACAACATTTTTAATAATTTGGTCCATGAAACAATGTTGTTGGGTGTTTTTTTTTTGTTTTTTGTTTTTTTTGCATTGAACCCCTAGAAAGCAAAGGTGTCACTGTCTCAGCCACTATCTCAGTTTTGGTTTTTGGAATATTTCAGATTTCGGATATCCAGAGAAGGGAGACTCAACCTGGATTACATTTGTGTTAAATTGCCATTTAAGTTTTATGTTAAAATTGGCATTAAAACCATGACAAAATGAAGGTCATATCCACCCTGTCTTAATCCTGGGAGAGAAGGAAACAGCTGAATCAATTTTTAGAAACTCCATTTCACATCCACCCAACCCAACCCAATTCTCTTGCTCTCCCTTTCTCTGTGCCTTAAAAACCCATCTCCTTCCCCGCCCCTTCCTTTAATCTTACTGATTCCCATACAAATCTCAGCAAATGTCCCAGGTTTAAGGGCTTCAAAGTTCAGTTTCCCGAGATCAGTGAGATACTTCTCTGTGGTGTCTGGTGCACAAAGCAGGAGGGCAGGTTAAATGAAAAGAAGATTTAACCACCACCATCCCGTTCTTTGTTGAACACACTACTTGTTGGTTTAAAATCTTAGAAACTTTGCATTCACTAATCTATCAGACTATAATCACAACTGAAAACAAAGACTCCTATAACCATGAAGTCATAGGCTTTCATGGCCGGCATCCATAGTTTTTTTGTGGGTTTTTCAGGCTGTGTGGCCATGTTCTAGAAGAGTTTCTTTCTGACATTTCACCAACATCTGTGGCTGGCATCTTCAGAGTTATAAACATATATTTCTCTGAAGATGCCTGCCACAGATGCTGGCGAAACATCAGAAAGAAACTCTTCTAGAACATGGCCACACAGCCTGAAAAACCCACAAAAAACAATCCTATAACCATTTATATTTTCAGTAGTTTGAAACTTGTGACCTGTAATTCTTGAATTTTGATGGACTAATAAAAAAACAAAAATCCCAGAGAACTTGGCAGTGGCTAAAGACCTAGCTGGGGAAAGTGAAATACATTCACTTTTTAGTATGGTCTTTCATATAACTAATTACTAACATAGGACGTTATCACACGTGGCCCAGAAACCGAAAATAAAGTGGAAATGAGGCATCCTGAAAATAAACGGGAAATAAACCTTGTTTCCGCAAACGTCATTACCTTCATTGCGAATTTACAGCAATTGCATTGAACGTCCACACACAAGAGAAAAAAAACCATAAATGTAGCCGAAATGAGCCTCCTGCACATGCGCAGAGAGAGGAATACTTGCGGGAACCATGGGTAATGACAGGGAAATGCTCTCCGATACGTATTTGGATATCATACTTACGGTAAATGCGAAATGATCCTCATCGCGCAATTGCAATTCCTCAAGAAACCGAAATTCAAAAGATCTCGGTTCTTTCCACTTTCTGTCCACTTTCTGTCGGGGTTCTGTGCGACGTCGTGTGAAAACACAGCCAAATTATCCAGTTTCGGTCGGGATTTCGTTTGGATTTTGTTTGCATTGGGCCCCGTGTGATAACGTCCTTAATTAATAACTGTAGAATTAAGTTAATTGTGAGAAGAGGAGGAGAAGGAAGAGGAGGCCAAATGCATTGGAAAATTGCAGGCAGCTTGTGTGTGTATGTGTGTCTGCTTTGTAAGACTTCACAGCAGAGTGCACCTCGGTTTGTGTTCTCAAGCGTGCAGCATGGTTTGTTCTGTGAAGTGATAGCTGGCAATAACTGAGCCAAGAAATTTTAACAAACTCAACAACTGCAGACTACAAGCATCTGCCGTAGGCTACCTACAGCATTCCTTGGTGGTTGTCCTAGAAAGCCAATAGTGTTTCTTGTGCAAACATTTCTTGACACATCTGACTCATATGGACGAGAAACAGTGCCCAAGTGCCTGTGTTAACAGAAGGAAAAACATCCTTTCAGTTCTGATCCCCACGTTGTCTGTTCCACACCATACAAAACAAGCCCATATACAACATGACATTCTGGCCATGATTTTGGGTCATGATTGAGAGCCAGCATGGTTTAGGCGTTGGACCTGGACTCTGGAGACCAGGGTTCGATTGCCCGCTCGGCCATGAAACCCACTGGATGACCTTGGGCAAGTCACAAGTTCTCAGCCTCAGGGGAGGCAATGGCAAATCTTGTCTAAACAAATCTTGCCCAGAAAACTTCGTGGTAGGTTCATGTTAGGGTAGCCACAAGTCAGAAATGACTTAAAGTCATGCATGTATATTGCAGGAAAAACAACTCAACAGTATAAAAAAAAATGGGGGAAATATCCAAATGTTGGTGCCAGGATACAATTTAGGAGTTAGAATGAAAATAAGAATAGAAAATACTTTATATGGAAAATTTATTATAGAAACCTCATCTGTTAAGTTTAAGGATATGTCCTCTCTGAGAAGTACGAAAATTAAAGAGTGGCATTTTAATAATAATAATAATAATAATAATAATAATAATAATAATAATAATAATTTATACCCCGCCCCTCTGAGTGCAATCGGGGCAGCTAACAACATATTAAAATTACAGATACTATCAATGTAGTCAAACCCTAAGCCCTCCCCCCCTTAAAACAATATTAAACTAGGACATATTAAAATCAAATGATTAAAATAAACAAAATAAACAAAATGAAACATCAGCACAATAAGTCTCGTAGGGGAAAACATAGGTTGGAAGGCGTTTAATGTATCATTTGTACTATATATTTTCTAGAACAGAATTAAAGATTTAAAAAGGAAAAAAAGAAAAGAAAAGAATGAAAGGTACGATTCAATGTTGAAGAAAAGGAAACAACAAATATTCTTTTATTTATATGCCTTGTATGTATGTATCCGATAATTAATAAATAAAATAATTTTTTTAAAAAAAATGACTTGAAGTCATAGAAAAACAACTGAGTACTGTAAATCTACATTCACAGAGCTGAGTCGTGGTGATTCTTGTTTTGTTCATTGCTCTTAAGTCGGATTCAATTTATGGTGACCTTATGAATGAGAGACCTCCAAGAGTCATGTTCATTGACAGCCCTTCTCAGCTTCAAATTTACTAAGCATTATCGTCTTTTCTAGTGATTCATGTCTTCTTATGATATGTCCAAAGTATGACAGTCTCAGTTTCGTCATCTTGGTTTCATCAGCTTGGCTTGTAGGGAGAGTTCAACTTTGATTTCCTCTAGGACCCAACATTGATTTGCTCTAGGACCCAAAATGACCAATAAATGGATTCTAGAGCACATCAAAGTTGAACTCGCCCTGGAAGACAAGATGATGAAACTGAGACTGTCATACCACAGAACTCTCTTCCAGCCCCACATTTCAAAAGCATTGATTTTCCTCCTGTCAGCTTCACTGTCCACCTTTCACAACCATACATAGACATTGGAAATACGATAGTAAAAAATCCTGACTTTGCTATTCAACAGGATACCTTTACACTTGAGGAACTTATTATAGCTTCATAGCTGCCTTTCCACATCCTTGGGGTGCAGATACACCGTAGAAATAATGCAGTTGGACACCACTTTAAATGCTCTAGTGACATCCTATGGAATCCTGGGATTTGTAGCTTTGCAAGGTCTTTAGCCTTCTCTCCCAAAGAATGCTACTCTCTCCCAAAACTACAAATCCCAGGATTCTATAGGATGGAGCCATGGCAGTTAAAGTGGTGTCAAACTGCATTATTTCTACATGTAGACATAAGGCACTTTGTACATTTTCTGTATCCCTAGTCGTCTTCTCATTACAATCTCCATTTTGATTTATGAGTGAGCCAAGGTATAGAAAGTCTTCAACTACGTATTTCATCGTCTTCGTCATCCATCCACTTTGAAATTATGTAAATCAGCTGTGGTCATTATTTTTGTTTTCTTAATCTTCAACCGTTTATCACTTTTTCACTGAACACTGACATTGTCCAACCAGCTACGTAGCTGCCAACATGTGAAGCCAAAGGCTTTCTGCCAACATGTTTGCTATTTCCATAATCCCACTGGAGAAACTAGTGGCACATTGAAGG